TTACGTATGTTTTTGTTGGGTTATGTTCCCTTGAACGGAACATGTACAAAATTTAATTTGTATATATGTTATATGTTTTAATATTTTATTGTGACAGCAATAGAAATGAAAAATAGAATTCAGAATTTTGAAAATTTAAGCAGTACTTTTTAGGATTTTTAAAAAATTTTCTTGCTTTATTCAAAACATAATTATGTAATTTAATTATGAATTTTTGTGGATGAATATTAAAATTTTTTTAAAAAGTTTCAAAATGGAGAAAAAAATATAGTCTAATATTGAAATTCACTTACAGCTCCGACAAAAAAAAATGTACTTATTAACAATGAAATAAGTTGAATACTCAATATGGTATCCAGTTTTAAAAATTTCAATTGTTACGGTTGAAATACAGTATAAGTTTTTGTCCTTGTTTCATTCTGAAAATGCATTCTTTTTGGCACTAATTTTCTTAATACAAAAATTTTTTGAAATTTTTGAACTGGAAAACAAAAATTGTATAATTTATTAGGAGTAGATTTTTTTAAAAAACGCTATTATGAAAAATTTATGCTTTGTTAATTTTTTCAATTAAAAAGGACTTTATAAATATGTATATTATTCTTATTCAATTAAAATGATTATATTAAAGAATTTCATTAGAATTGCATATTAAGAGTAGGAAAACAAAGTATATAATTTGCAAGCTGGCAAAATTAATAAATTTCTTGCTTAAAAACTATTATAACTAGAGCCAACAATTTATATTATATTTTATATTAGCAGTTCTTATATAGAAATTTAACAAGATCACATATATTATAGATCACTTAAGTTCATATAATTTAGTGCGAGTTAGTCAAACAGTCTTGAGAGTCATGACTGTTATACTAAATTACATTTTTACTGTAGAATTTTCGGTTATTGTATAGGGTTAACTTGATCTCATAGTGTTACAAATTTACAACTACAAAATTTTTCTTGTGTAGAAACTTTGTTTTCATAATTTTATATGGTTTTATTTTACGTACTTTATATATGAAATCCAAAATACCAGAAACTAAAAACTTATTGTAATCTGTAAACGAAATTGCTTTTATAAAGAATATATTTTTGAAAATAATTAGGATTAAAAACTAGCAGATTGAAGCAATTATTTTGTTATTTAGGCTTTCTTTATGCATTTTTACATGTACATTTTATTGTTGTATAAATATGTGTATGTAGATTTTAAGTAATTAGAGTAAAATTTTTTTCTAAAACCTTATAAAGAATTTCCTTTTTCTTGTTGTAAATAATTCCCGGATTAATTCAATTTTCTATTTTAAATTTGAATTCAATTAAACAATTTTATATCCTTAGAAAATTTCATTATCAAGCAGAGAGCATTAAAAGGCTTTATTGTTCCATTCAAAAACTATCCATATATTGTTTTTAATAGGGTGATGTTGAATTAATAGACGGGAATTATGATTGCCATACAAAAGGACTGAATTTAATACTTGTGAATCACAAATTTAGATGTACTGATATGTCAAATGCCGCCCGAGCCAGCCTGTTTTCGATGTGTTCTTTGATCCCTCCGCAGTTGTAAGTATTGTACTGCCAGGATGATTGAATTAATCGACATTTTATATTGGGCTTATACATATAATGAAGTGTCAACTATATTGTTAACGGTTTTTTACTGAAATTTTAATCGATGAAAAGTTTATGGACCATGGAGTGTAATGCTTTTCTTCGTTTTTTGTATTTAGGAGCTCCGTTCTGTAACTATTTATATTTCTAAATATATGTACCTTTAATAATATATTTAACAATTCCGGTTAAGAATCATAAATGTTTCGTTTATTTTACTTGAAAAGTTCGAATATGATATGAAATAAAGGTCGAATATGATACACACTAAAAATTGATTTGGATTTAGAGAAATATATGTTCTTAATCATGCTGTATTATTAGAAATACGTTATATATTGTATTTGTAATTTTATTTCATTTATGAGTTACATACAGACAGTAGATTTTATTGGATTTTAAGAAATAAAATGACATATATACATACATGGAATGTTGTTATTTATTGTTCAGATATTTTAATACTTTTATTGTTATGTGCATCACATTGTATTTTAGTATTAGTAGACTTCCTTATTTAATAAAATATCATTAGGATTTATTCATCTATGTAAGAGAAAGCCTATAACCATTAGGTATGCTACTGTGTTGTAAATAAATTACAATTTAGTAAAGATAGTGTTTTTATATTATCCTTTTTCCATTTTTCTATTAATAGATTTCTGTATATATATATATTGTGTGATAAATAACCATTTTTCGAGTCCTTGTTTATGGAATTATAATGGTTTTTTAATGGAAGATATTTCGGAACTATATAGGTTGATATTCACATTTATTTTTTTTTTTTATATTTTATTTTCCTTTTTTAAGGTATTACTAGTAAACAAATTTTCGTTTATAGTTTGAAGTTTACAGTTCGCGCATCGTGTCATATAGTGACGATAAAATCCTGCGGATGCCTTGAATGCGTTTCTCCATGTTCTACCGGCCGAATACGGCTAGTAATGTAGACATAGTGACTGACTGCCGGCTAGCAATTCTGGCTCTTAAATTGCCTAACGTACCTACAAATGGGCTCCTGACGTTGTTTCGACGGAACATTTTCTGCCTAACGGCACTCTACATGGAAAGTGTGAGACTAGGCTGGGAGTGCTTTAACACAACGTGCCGCTGCTACCGGGAAGTGAATAATAAGGAGACCTCATATGCAAATCATTTAATGGTAGATACAATAATCTTAAATTTGGTTAAAGTTTACACTTCCGAATTCGAATTTATTAAAATGCATGGGTATACATGAAAATTCAATTACAAGACTTTCGGATTTAGCATATTGTGTGTAACTTTATTAACTAAACTGTTCTCACAGTATTGTATATTGCTCTCGATAATAAATTTTATTAGTTAAATATCTTTGTTTTTATAGAAATAAATGTAAATTATTGTGATGAATTGAATATAATGTCAGCCTGATATTTTTAGATGCCGTATCATACGTTCTGTTTTACAAGCATTTTTATGTAATTAAAATTTTCCTTTTAAAATTAGAACTGCAACGTGTTGCAAAAATTTTTTTTATGGTTTACGTGTTTTTTTTTTTTTTTTATAATAAAGTTATTTTGTAAAAACATGATAATTTTCATACAAAACTTATTCTTTTCATTTTGTGCAATTTTGAACACATGCAGAATTTATGTTTTTTAAATAAAGTTTAGAGTAAATAAAGTTGGGTCAAACCAATGGTTTGTATTGTAGCACTTTTCCCTTCAACAAGTGAAAATTCTGCTTTTAAATACAGTCTACGAGTATGTATACCTATCACACTATTAAAATTTTTTTCATTCATATACAAAACTATTTCTAGGATTGCATATATTTAGGATGAACGATTTATGCAGTCTTTGAAATAAAGCAAAAATTAATATAAGCAGGGGTTAACATAATGCTCGATTTTAAGGGTTAGTTGTGTGAGTTAAGAAAAATAATTATATTTTTTAATATCATGGAATTTACCGTTAACTTTTGCGTTTATAGAAATTTGAAGAAGCTTGCGGTTTCAGAAATATAAGGTGTCGAAAATGCAAATTTTACAAATTTCAAGAGGCCATAACTTGAGAGGGGGTGGAGATGGAAAAAAATTTTCTTCTAACGAAATGAACTACATGTTAATGTCTAAAAGCCCCTAAAATTTCAAGCTTCTACAGGCTGGGGTCTAGAAGAAAAACGACATCAAAAATTTGGTAAAAAAGGACTGTAGATAACGGTAAATTTGAATGGCCATTTTGTTTTTCTAAAAATTAACTATAGTATACCGCGGTAGGGGAAGCAAGCCACAGCCTTTCTGCGTTTGCAAAATTTCAAAAATGCTTATGGTTTCATTGCAACAAATAGTTAAAATAGGCCATTTTTAGTGCTTTGGCGGGGTATAACTTCTAGAGGGGGGGAGATAGGTAAAAATTTTGTTCTACAAAAATAAGTTTCTAGTAAAGATCTATGTACGTATTAAATTTCAGCTTTCTATCTTTAAAAATGTAGAAGTTTTGTAAACAGACACACGGACAGACGGACGGACGGACGGACGGACGGACGGACGGACGGACGGACGGACGGACGGACGGACGGACGGAAGGACGGACGGAAGGACGGACGGACGGACGGACAGAGTGAAACTAATAAGCACTTTTTTTCAAAAAATTTTTGGAAAAGTGCTAAAAACAAAGAAAAAATAAAAAGAAAAAAAAAATATAAATTTTTATTTTTTTGTTTTTGGATTTTTTTTATAAAATTGAAATTCATTTTGTGCAAAAAAAGAAGAGAAAAGTAACTGCTTTTTAAATTTACCACACCTTCTGTAAAGTTGCAAAATATTCAAAAATTTTATGAAATAGAAAAACTTTTAAAATACAAAGTCATTGTTGGCATGTACTACAATAATTTCCATTTCATAGAGAGTGCTTCATGTTGTCATCCTTATATCATCAATCTAATTTTAAAGGATATAGTGTAGAATATGCAAATTAATAGTTGCATTTCCAGGAAATTGATAATTGAATTTGAGAATAATGTTGTGGTTTTGAAAGCATTATACATTGATGGCATTTTGGTATTGTGTTAATTAAGTGAATCTGTTTGCTGAAGTGTATTAGTTTTATGATTTAAATTTTTTTTGTTATAGATTTCTTAACAATTTATTCGTTTTTCTAAATTTTTCCTTTGATTGAATTTAGTTTGTTTAACTTATGTATATGCTCTTAGAGAGTTTATTATGATATCCTGAATTATCCTATAAAATTTGTATGTGCTCACTTTCACAGTAATACTAAAGTATTTTTTATTTAAAATATAAGGGTAATAATAATATTATTTTATGAACTAATAGATTTAAATAAGATTAAATTGTATTAAATTTATGTTTTATTTTGTTTTTTCGAAAATTTCAGATAAAGGACACAACACGTCATATAAAAAAAGCTATAATGGCATCATCGTTGGAAGAAATGCGTAATAAATGTGCTGAAAAATTTGAAAAAATTGATCAACTGCCAACTATACATTTAGATTCTGATGGTACTGAAATCGATGATGAAGAATATTTTCGAACATTGGAAGAGAATAGCGAATTAATAGCTGTATTTCCTGGTGAACATTGGGTTGATGTAAGTGTGTGTGTGTTTTTTTGTAATATTTTTATTATTCTTTCCAGACTTCTTTACATATATGCCATGTATGTAAAATATTGCATATTTTTTATAGGGTAAATTTTGAATATTTTTTCCTTTTTTAAAGAAATTCTATTTAATGTATAAAACTAAAAATTCGTAGAAAACTATTAAAAAAATGTTTTTGAAGTTGAATAAGTTTCTTTTTTTTTCAATCTTTTTTTTTTACTTTGTTGTTAAAAAATTCAGAGAAATTGTTCACCAAATATTTATGGTGGGGTTTTTCATTTCCAAATTATTCTGATAGAAGTGAAAACATTTTTATTTGAATATTAAAAAAAATATTGTTTTCCTCAACTATAGGGTGTTTTAAATTGATTAGAAAATTTTTCAATTATTAAAGAGTTTCGTACTTGATTCAAAATCTATAAAATGGGATTATTTGTTTTTAGGTTATTGTATGGGTAGGCCCACGGACGGACATGCCTAAATTAATGCTAAATTTTACGCTGAGCAAAAATAAATATATATATCGCAGGCGACTCTTTCAAGTGATTACAAATTCCATACCAAAGTTAATATACCCTTCATGAAGCTGTAGTGTATGAATATGACTATTTGAGTATTAAAATTGTGATTTTTTATATGATGTTTGACCTAATTTTCACATTTTGTAAAATTGCTATATTATTGCTAAAATTATCCCTAAAAGTATGCAATAAAAATTATATGTTGTACATACATTATTACTATGACCTTCCCCTAAAAATATGCAAATTAAAATTAAAATTGCTTAAGTACTTATTCTGAATATGTGGAAGGATAATCTCTTACTTTAAAAATATTTGTGTGATTCGAATTTATTTTTAAAAATATCAGTTCTATTATACACACTCTATGATTAAATTTAAAAAAATATAGATATTATAACAAAACATACAAAATATTTACTAAAACTTTAAAAATTTATTAGCTTCATGTATAAGAAACTGTGCGAAATATTATTAAATAAAAATTTCAAAATGAAAGAGAAGCACAAAAAATAGAATCCCTTATTTTTTTTTTCGGGTTCCCTTATTGCGATTTATGTAACAAAACAATATTTTAAATTATAGTGTGTGTGTATGCAAATATATGTATCTATGTATTTAGTAAAATAGAATGGATTAAATTTTATTTATTAAAACTGTGTTAAGTAGTCTAGTTGTCTGTTAAATTGTGATAAATTTTAAATATTTATGATATTATGTAAATTTTCTCTTTTTTTTTAATATTGAATATATATGTATGTAGAAGAGAAGAGAAATATCTCGTTTGAAAAAAAAATGTTTTTCCTATCCTTGTCAGTACAATAATAGTATTAATTTAATATTCTTACTAACATTGGTTTCTTTATACACATACAAAGTATAGCATTTTGATTCCGTTTTAAATGAAATTTATTTACATTACATATTTTGTTTTTGTAATTTTCTGTTGTACATACTATCATGTACCGAATAAATGAAGTTTTTAATTCTATTTTAAATTGCAAATCTTTGTAGTTTCCTGTATATTGTTTTAAAGCTGGTAGTAGATAGTATTTTGATTAGTTTGGAAGTTACTAAATTAATTCATAAAATTAGAAACGATACAGGTATTTTTGTTCCCGAGATCACTAATAAACTGCAGACTCTAATAATATATAATAGAAAGCAATGTACACGAACAATATTTCCGGAAATATTTAAAAGAATTTTAAGGAAAATTTTAAGTTTATTTTCTGATTAAACTGGAACAGACAGAGGACTTTTGAGTGTTTCTTGTGATCATAGGTAAAACCTTGTATTTTGCATAGTATTTTAATAATTTATTTAATAAGGAATAGAATCTGAATGTCTACATGACTATGCAGTTTCAAGTGTTGTAAGTTAATTAAAAACGAAGGACTCAAATTACTTTAAATACAAATAAATATATGTAATATTTTTTGCTTATTTTAAGTATTTACAAAAAAAAAAACATGATCTAATGAAAATCGACACCAAAAACTTTTATGTTCCTTATGTTTTTCTCTCAATTATATTGCATCACATAATTATTTTATCATGTTTCATTTTTATATAAATTTACTTGTCTTCATTTTAATTAACTGTAGTTACTAACAATATTATATGAAGTTAATATTTACCTTGAATTACATCATAAATATTATGTGTACATGTTGTATATACATATTGTACATAAATAAATTGTAAAAAAAAATTATTTTAACATTATCTGACATTTATTAACGTTCATGAATGCAAAGAAAGAAGTATAAATAAAATAAAGGTTAAAGAAAAAAGAGAACTGATTATAAGGTTGCTTTTCTTCTCTTCATTAAATACTATTATATTTTATGAATATGCACTGCTAAATATATTTTATAATATACCATGCTATAAAAACCTTAAAAAGAAACGTGCTAAAAATGTAATAAAAATTGAAAGTATATCAACTGAAAATATTAATAAAGTCAGGCAGGAAATATAAAACACATACAAATTTTTTTTTTTTTTTCGTTATCCTTACAACAAAAAGCTATAATTTTTCAATAAAATTTATTTATAACAAGAATAAGAGTAGGAAATGTATATTCAATTGGAAATATCATATACATTTGAAAGATTGAATAATTTTAGCGTGTTTATTGGTGTAAATAAAAATTTCTAAAATTAAATTTAAGATTTTAAATAAATTTCATAGCCATGTGGAAATTTGTTACTGCATAAATGCAATCGAACAAAAATTTTCATTTAGATAATCATGATTGTAGATTTTTAAGGCCAGAAAACCTGGAGAAATCCGAGCTTTTCAAAAAAAAACCTTGAAAATGCATCTACATTCAGTTAAATCATAACCCGCCAAAAAAAACAACAGAATAAGGAGGAAGTGAGAATTTTGCATTTTTTCGAGATGATTTCTGTGAAGAAATTGTTAGCGGAGTGAACATGAGCAAAGACTATCATTTCTTTCCTCCCTTTCACGGCAGTCTTTGAAGATATTAGTCAGAAATAACCCGTGCCTTAAGTAGATATTCCGTTATAAATCTTTATTATGGCATCAATATTTTTTTAATTAAAGTTTTCATAATCAGGATTTGAAATTTTATTACACCCCTTTAAAATTGTGTTTTTTTGCGAGTATAAAAAGTTCATTTCCTTTTTTAAAAAAATTTTTGTTTTTCAGTCGTGTTTCTTCCAATCATCATTATTCATCTTCGCCATAAAGTACACATTGTGGTGTTTTTTATGTGCGTGTAACCTTGAATTTATGCTATACTAAATAATGTGTGTTTTTTTTTCATTTTTATCTCATTGCCAAACATACAGGATAAAATATCGGTTTTTTCTTTTTTTTTTGCAGTTAGTTTTTTTTTCAATATGAATTTTTTTCATCTCATATTTTTGTTTCATCTTCTTAGTTACGCGACTTTTCTTGTTATATTCTTTTTTGTTTTACATTTTATTTTCCAATGAATGTTACGTATTTCTTTTGTGACCTATTGCAAAAAAAACTAAAAAAATAAAGTCCTTACTATTATTGCGTCAGCAAATAAAATCGATTTCTTTAGAGTAACGAGTGGACTGCTCTAATAATCAAAGTCACGCACAATATATACGTTATATAGAAGATAAAATTTTTGGGAAGAAAAGAAGATAAAAATTATATAAGTGAAAATTAATTTTTATGTCAGATGCACACATGTATACAAATTAAAAAAAAAAAATTAACTAGATTTAGCAATATTCTCAAGAGAGTTGGGATATTTATAGAAATTTTATAAATAAAAATTAAAACTGCGACAATTTTTTTATTTTGTTTTTTATTTGAATTCTAAAAACTCTACAAAATTTCTTTTAAAAAACCAGTTTTAGTAAACTGAATTGTAATACAACCTGTAGTTGTTTTAATTAATAAGTAATGTGCCTATTTATTAGTAATACGATTTATTATTAATTACACTAATAATATTAACTTAATAGAAATTTTTTCATACAACTACAGAACAGATTGATGACCTAATCAAAGGAATGAGTTAAAGGCTGAATTTTAGTACAGTTTTAGTAATTTTATTAAATTTCCCTATAGATGACAAATAATCTCATAGACTTTTCTTTATGAATATTATTTTAATATTATATTCCAGTTGATTGTCTGGGCAATTTCTTGTCACATTATTATTTATCAAGGCACGACTACTATGCTTTGTTTCCCTTACACATTCATATTTAATAATTTCCAACATTATAATATAAGTATGCATGTATTTTACAAAGAGTAAACGTTATAAATATTGAATAAAATTAATATCACTTTTCATTCTGTTTTAAATTTTTCAATGTATGATGGCATGTAAAAAGGGTAACACGTTATATAAAAAAAACGACAATAAATTAATTACACTCAAATCGAATGAATGTTGTTTGCAAAGTAGCGCATTTCCTTTAAATGATCTTAAGATTATGAAAATACATTTTTTATTCTATATTCACATTATTCCCCTAATATTGTAGTGTAAAATATTATTGCATACGCTTAGGAGGAGAGTTAAAATTAATTGATATTGCAGGAACTTGATTTAACTAGTAATTTTTGAGAAATGAGTTAATAAAAATATTGAAATATGAGAGACGAGGACTAATGTCGTCAAATCACTAAAATTTTAGACATCTATAACTTATCTTTTGAAAGAAAAATGTTGTTTAAAATGTGAAAAGAAATGGACTCAACATTTGATATAGTTTTATTTTGTTTCCTAGATTTTTTTAGGTTTTCATATAAATAGGCATTAGTTTTTTTTACTAATTTTAAGAAAATCTTTTAAATAGCCATTAGTTTCCAATTTTAACGAGTATAGAAGTTTTGTAAACAGATATGCTCACTAACGAACGAATAGAGTGGAATAAGGACATTTTTTTCTAGATTTTTTTTTTTTTTTTCGGAAATATAGTCAAAATATTTTTTATTAAGTAATAAATAATTTCAACTGCTGTTAAAGTGTTAACATTATTTAAAATTATTAAATTACTTTTTTGTTAGCTCTATGCGCCATTTTTTTTTTTGTATGCACAAAGATATATGTATACATATAGTTTTGCTATGTGTTTCCAAAATTATAATTTAATACCATTTTTCTTTTTTCTATTTTTAGCCTACTCAATATGTTACAATATCAAGTCATCGTAAGAGTTCTGGTGATACAACGGATGCAGCAGCTGCAGCTGAAAATGATGAAAGAATACGAAAATTGGTTGGACAATTGCAAAATAATTTATGCAATGTATCTGTTATGAATGATACAACAGATTTGGAGACATTATCAAATATGGATCCGAATAGTTTGGTGGATTTAATAGGAAAAGATTTTATTGAACAATTAAGGGAGTCATCAGGCAGGTTAGGGGGAGAGACCAAAGATGATGGTGGTTAATACTCCCCTCCCATCTAAAAGTCTCGATGTCTATACTTTTATTTTTTTAGCTATAGTTTGTTTTTTTGTTTTTTTGTTTTTCTTTTATGTTTTATTGATTTTTCTTTTTATTTTTGTATGAAGTTGTTTTTTTGTTGTTCTGTTATTTTTTTTGTATTTTAATTGTTTTTCTTGTTACTTAAATTTTTTTCTGAAAATGTTTTTTTTTTTTTTTCATAAATATTTTAGTATTGAATAATTTGATTTTCCTACTTAATATATTTTGCATGTTCATAAAATATGCCATTTTCAAGAAAAATTAATATTTTTGTTTTTGTGAAAAACTTGCCTATCAAATATTTTTTTGATCAGTATGGCATTATAAATTGTAAAAGTTATAAACAGTTTTAGAATTATGATTTTTATTAACTTGGGAGGAAAATTTCTAATTTTACTTATAAACATTTAAAGCTTGGACTATTCATTGAAAACGAGTTGATTTAAACTGTTATATTTGGAATTTTGGAACTATTGTTAAACATGTTTGCTTGCTTGCAAACCTACACTGGTGACCAGCTAAATAAAACACCCTAGCTAATATTAATCTTTTGAGACATACTGCCTTTCTCACGCAGAATTTCAAAAGCATTGGTTATATATTTTTTTGGTGTTAGCTTACAGAATATAAAAAATAAGTTTTGCAGATAATGAGAGTTTTTGTTTTCGATATAAATGACGCCTTAAAGGTACTGGTTCAATTATGCTGCAGACATTTAAATAAAACAGGGTGCAAAAGTAGCAATTATTTTAATAATTTTTGAAAGTAAAAGCTAACAATTATTGAGTTTTTGGAATTTTAGAGCTTCTTTATTAAAAAGAAATAAATTTTGCTGAGAAATATTGTGGAAGTATTCATAAAATAGGAAAATGGGGCGAGGAAAACACTGAACTCCAGATGAAAAGGTACTAGGCAAGAGCAAATTTCGACCCTAATAGGAAGATCTGTTTGTTTTGTACAAAACCAACAGTCTTTGGAAAAGTTATAAAGCTTAAATCAAAAAAACAACGGTCAAAAAAGATAGAACTATAATACGTTTTAGTAAAAAAGATTCTTTTCTTGCTCTTTTACCAAGATTCAGCAACAACCGAAAGAAAATTTAAATTTCGAAGTGTCTGCGAGAAATGCTAGAAGACGTTTATTAGACGGAATACTCAGAGGGTGCATTGCCAAGAAGAAACCTCTTGTGTCTTTAAAAAATATAAAACATTGCTTAGAATTTGCAAAAATGCATAAAGAAAAGCCACTTTTATAATGAAAAAAATTAATTATAGACTGATAAAAACAAGTTTAATAGAGTCTGTTGCGACGGTAAATGCTAAGTTTGTTGCCGGAAAAATGAGTTTTGCAACCAACTCAACTCTTTAGTACGGTGGTAAACATTAAAATTTCCTGTTTTAATTTTTAAAAATTGCGATGTCTTATTTAGCTGGCCACTAGTGTATATCATAACATATTTAATAACGGGCTTAACTTACTTTGGAAATTGTAAATAAAATTATAAGAATTTAAGATTTATTTTAAACGAGAAAAAAAATAGAGTTGACCTTGTCAACTCTGTGATACCCGTACGAATTTGTTATCCTATGTGTGAATAACTAATGTGCCATAACTAACTATGGGACAGACTATGACTTTAAGTTGCCGTATTACCATATTAATTTATGCAAAATTTCAGTACTATGTGTTTTTCAAAATACTGGTTGTACCAAACTGCTATTGAAGTTGTATGGCAGCTACCAGAAAGAGCCAAGAAATTTTAGCGAATTTTATCAAGCACATCGGCCCTACTAATATATTCACTTGAGTGAAATCTCAATATCACAGCTTTTATAGTTTCTGAGATATAGCCAAATAACTTTTGAAGTTGTATGGCAGGTACCAGAAGGAGCCAAGTAATTTCAACGACTTTTATGAGACACATTGGCCCTACTAATATATTCGTTTGTGTGAAATTTCAATACCATAGCTTTAATAGTTTCTGAAATATAGTCAAATAACTTTTGAAGTTGTAGGGCAGGTACCAGAAGGAGCCAAGTAATTTCAACGACTTTTATGAGACACATTGGCCCTACTAATATATTCGTTTGTGTGAAATTTCAATACCACAACTTTTATAGTTTATGAGATATAGCCAAATAAATTTTGAAGTTGTATGGCAGCTGCCCGAACCTGTACCCCGATCACGTCCAATTTAAATAGGGTTCTGGCACTTACTACAATAAATCATTTGTGAAAATTTGGTGAACTTAGCTCAATTAGTTTTTGAGTTATCGTTGGGACGGACGGACGGACGGACGGACGGACGGACGGACAGACAGAGCTAAATCAACTCAGAATTTGACGCTGATCAAAAACATACACTTGAGTCTGTATCTAACGCCGTTATTTCTTAACGTTACAAACGGTAAGGCAAATTTAGTATACCCTTCGAACATACGTTCGTACGGGTATAAAAATAAGGTGTACGTAACTTACTTGAAGCATAATATTAACATTAAGTTTGGTTTTCTTTTTAAACACGCAATTAATTGCGAATACGTGCACTTAGGGGCTCGGAATTTATTATTTATAAATTCAATTACATATACCCTATCTTATCATTAATATTAAATGCCTTTTCATTTTTTCAATTACTTTTCATAATTTAATTGTGTTATCATGTAAATATTCAAGAGTATTTAATTTAGGCTTTGTTTTTCGCATGTTAATTACTTATAAATTTGCAAACTGACTTTATCTAATAGATAAATTAATAAATTACTTTTAATTGTGTCTCTTGATATATTTATTAATTTTTGTGTCAATAACAATTTCAGGCACCATATTATTACAAAATGTAGGAAACGTTGAAAAAAAATATTAAGCAAATTATTTGTGTTAGAGGATTCAATACTGAATTTCTACTTTAACTAAAAGCAATTTTATGTGAATTAAGCAAAATAATAAATAAATTTATTATTGGAGCAAGGGATGGCTGTAAGCACGTCATTTGGATTAAAATTTCGCTAAATTTTATTGATTGTTCTCATTAATGCGATAATATAGAATTGTTAGCAAAGGGTTTGCATGTAGATAAATATTAATAATTGTGACTCTTTTGAATATTTAAGTTATTTAAGAGTGTTGTGTGCCTAAAAAGGTGTTAACAAGAGATATAACAAAACATTTAATTATGAATTTTGTTATTTTTATGTTTAGTTTACTTTAACAAATACCTATTATCATTACCAATTAATTTCTTTTAAAAATTTTAATGAAAAATTCAAAGCAAAATATAACTAAGGGTTCTTTTTCGTTGAATCTCTAACAAATCATTTTTAATTTTAATTCATTTGAATTCATCGTCATTTTACATAAGCAACTGGCTGAAATCAACAAAACCTTTTTGGTATCCGATAACAAAATTGATAAAATTTTGCTTACCCAAAAACCTGTCATCAGCAGAAAAATAATTGTGTTTGCACTCCAAAATTTTGAATGCTTACAAAATTGGTGCAGCAAGTATTCATTGACTAAGAGTGCTGTTATTATGGCAATATGATATTCGGCTTACAAATTTTTATTAATTTTGTTTGTGCTGCTTATCTTACTACTCTTAGTATCTTAGTACTCCTCCCACTGTTCCAATTTGAAGTTCACTCAATATTGTGATTTATTTTTTTTCTAAATGACTTTGACATTTTTGAAAATTGACATGCAGATATTTTGGCAGATATGCTTTTCAAAATAAACATCAGCTGGGAGAAAAAATAAAGAAATTTTTTAAACAAAATGGCAGCGTCATTTTATGCGTATATTAAATTTATTTTTTTTATTTTCTATAATCCTTAAAAAATCATTCATTTATAAAAACAGAAAACTTTTATTACGTTTGTCTTGGTAAACATCATTATGTGAAGAGGGGCAGCTATCAGTGTAATCTGTTTATACAAATATTGTGGTTGGATTTTTTTTTATTTTTGGGTCAGAATAAGAAAAATTTGTTACAGTTTTGGTCATTTGTTGTTCTTTTTTTTTCTTTTGAATATTAATTTTTGTAATTTAATAAAAATCTGATAGAAAGAATGGAATAAAGGATCTATATAAAAGAAGAGACAAGAAGTGGGGATAATTTTTCTTTGTCTTTATTTTTTTTTGAAAAATGTTTCACAACAATATTTTTTTTTATCTTCTTTTTTGTTTTTATACGCGTTGTTGTTTGCCATATTTTGATTAAATTCTTAGTTTTTTTTTTTACTCTTAATATTTTGTCGTTTATTTTTCGTGCGTATGTAAATTTTTGCTGAAAGTCCTAAAAGAAGTTCTTGTTTGTGCCCTTGAATAGGCGGTAAAATTATTATTTTTATTATGGTATCCTGTTTTTTTCATCTAATTTTTCGCTTCTTTTTGCGGTATACGGCAAACGAAAGTTGCTTGTTAGCGGCGGCAATGGTTGCCGGTGGTCGATAAACAAATTACAAACCTGCGGGAAATATTCGAAATTATGCAAAAAAAAAAAGCACAAAAAGAGACAGAGAGAGAGAGAAAATAAAGATGAAATTGTTGTTTATTTTTCTCGTTTGCATTTGAAAACGGTAAAAACAATAAAAAAAACAAATACAAAAAAAAAAAGTAAACAAAAAATAAAAAAAAAATAATTCTTGTTTTCCTCTTTAAAACAAAAATTATTCTTTAAAAAAATTAAAATTAGGTTCTCCTTTTTGTACCAAAATTAACTTGAAATTCGTTTTTGAGCGGAGAAAACTAAACAAAATGGGAAATAAAAAGAATTTTTATTTTATAAAACCTAAATTCGTTATGGAATTTGGCGCAAACAAAACAATTTGAAAAAAAAAAATTAAAATTATGTGGAACAAAAAGTTTGAAATTTTTGGTTTATTTACTTTTTTCTCTGTTATTTTCATTTTAATTGGAATGAAAAGGAGG